AAGGTAGACCTGGGCCGGGAAGGCTTTCAGGGGTTGATCGGTAAGCTGAGTCCTGAATTCAAACAAAAGCTGGAGGAAAACAGGGGTGGGGTGGGGGGAGCTCTGCAGAGGAGGCGAACAGTCACTGGTGGTGGGGGCAAGATGATGGAGCATGTGAGAAAGTAAATTGTGGGGCGCAGGTATAGGGAAGAGCCAGGTGTGTGGGCACAGGTAGAGCCTTCTGGGCCAGTTGGGTTCTGACCAGGATGGGGCACTTTGCTCAGGGACAAGGGAAGTCAATGTGGAGTTTCTGGCAGGACTGTGGCCCTTGGCAGAACTCACCTGGTCCAGGACAGGGTGGGAGATGGGGAGGGAGAGAGGAGGGTGACCGTGGCTTTCCCAGGGCGACAGGAAGAGCCTTGAGGGGACGGCACTGTCCTGAGCCTTGGCTGTGTGGACGTCAACGTCCTCGTGGTGATGGTGACTACGGCTTCACAAGATGTCACTACTGGGGGAACCTGGGCAACACGGGATCTGGTATTTCTTGAAAGAGCAGCTGAAGCTATAATCAACTCAAAAATAAAAAGTTTTACTGAAATAAGTGTCTCCTACTTTTATTTCATAAAGCCAATAAGGGTCAGAGAGGGGAGGCCAATTATGAAGGCCCTTCCAGTAGTCCAGAGAGCTGCGGGGCTTCCAGCGAGGGAGGTGGAACTGATCTGAGAAATCCCAGGAGGTGTGAGAGACAGACTCGCTGATGGGCACGGGGAGGAAGCAAAGAGGAGGAAAGCGCCGCACTGACCCCAGCTGTGCCCCGAGATGCCGGCGCATTCCGGCACCTTCTTCTGAGAAGGGATACGCAGGGTGAGTGGTGGGCTGCACGGCAGTGGTGCTGTAGTCAGGAGCCCACCGACATTTAGGGAAGCAAGGAACTGTCCAGGGAGGGCTGCTGAGCGGGCGTTTGGAAGTGCAAACACCCCAGAGTGAGGCGACTTCAATACTGCGCCCACTAAACATTTTCCTAAAGTCTAGGTTTTATATAACTTAGGCAGCAAAGGACAATAAAATTCTATGGCTTTTTCCTCACTAATCGACATGTCTGTACCAATGAAAATTTGACTTCATTTTTAATAAGTTCACTTAAAATTTTTTATTGTATTATTTTAATTAGTTAATGAGGATGCCTGCTCATTGTTAATAAACAAATAAAATGCAAACTAACACACACAGAACTCAAAGTGAAATTTCCTCCCTTGGGTTTTGGCCAGTCTCACTTCCTTCCCTCTAGAAAACTTGGACAATAAAAACGAACGCCCGTCACCTCTCTGCGTCACACTTTCACCATTCTCCGGGAACTCACTCACTCTTCTTTAAGGGGCACTGCTGGAATGGGCGCCCTGTTGCCCGCTTCATGCAGCTACCTCCAGCTTTCTAGGCAGACCTGGCTTTCCCCTGAGTTCTCTGTCCCACCTACAGCTGGCTTGGGAAGTGAACCTGAATTCTTCAAGCCCAGCCTCCTGGAGCTGTCATTTCAGCCCAGTTATCTTCCTCTGCAGTGGCTTCTGAGCATAGATGACCCCCGCAAGAGGGATGGAAGAAGGACACTTTACTTCTGCCACTGGCCACCAGGGCCCTACCTAATCCATCCCCTACCTGAGAGCCCTGGATAAAAAAGTGCCCAAATTTTATTATTAACAAAATGGCATCAATGAGAATACTAGAAAGAGACTGAAAATTTAACAAATAAAGACAAATGTTGTATGCATCATATACATTGCCCTCAATAGCCCTGCTCTAGAGGAGTGTGCCATATTGGAAATGAATTCTCAGAACCCTCCTGTCTGATTTGGAAGACAGCATCACTGATAAAGCAGACGACTTTTGTTTAGAAGCCACAGTGCAAAACCCAAGTCCCAACAACTTTAGATCGTCAACTCACACTCAACGTTGTGAGATGCACGCTCCTGAGAGGCCCCTGGAGCTGCCACTGGTGGGTGAGCAGCAGGCCCGTGCGTCATTCTCAGGTCCACGCAGGACCGTAGGGGACCTGCGTATGCCAGGTGCAGCTCTGTTCTGTCCTGGTTTTCTTTTCAAACGTACACAGTTGTTTTTATGCAAAATATGCAATATAGTGTAACTTCTCAATATTCCTTTTTGCATTTAACTAACAATCCTTGACACCTGTCCCATTGTTTAAATTCAGAATAAGAGGATGGATGAGAGCCCCTGCACCCTGTATTACTTTGGAATCTGCTGTTCTGGATTGTTCTCACTGTGCTGCTGGGACACATGCATGACTTTTTACATGAATGGGTACCCAGTGAACACATGCTTCTGCAATTTACTATTATTTTTGCTTTCATGTCTTTTTTGAGTACACAGTGTTCATGAAGATTAATGGGTTCACTCTGGGAAACACGTACACGTGTAGAACACACTATAAGCACTCCCCTCCCCCTTCATCCCCCTTGCTTGCCTCTGCAACTTAGTAGATTTTCACTGAGTCACAACATTTTTGCAGTTCCCCATAGCACATCAATAAATATGGATGGACCACATTCTTTTGAACTGTACCATAGTATGGATATTTTATGCTATTTGTAACCATCTGCCATTGCTGAGCATGTTTTAGGCATGTCTAGTTTTTGTTCTTATAAATATGATAATAATAGACATTATATTCTGCAAGTCTCTTCAATTACATGTAAAGATAAATTAATCTGCTATAAATATATGTTTGTGAATATCTGTAAAAGATTAATAAATATGAAATTACTAGATCAAAGATTATGTATGTTTGAAATTTTAATGGCTACTGCTGAATTGCCCTCCAATAATGTTTCATAATTGTCACCCCCTACGATGTATATGTCACTGTATATCATCAATGTTTTTAATTTGTGCTAACCTAACGGATAAAAAGTAGCATTTCAATTTATTTTTTTATATTAGGGAGGTTGAAAATCTTTTCAAATATTTATTCATAATTTCATTGAGGAAGTTTTGTTTTGTGCTAAAGAAATTTTTCAGTGGGTTGTTTGTATGTTTCCAAAGAGTATTTTTAGGAGCTCTTTTATAATGAATATTAATCTTTTATTGTAAATTTCTCTTCTACTGTGACATCTTTTGTTTGAATTTAGTGTCTATTTATTTATTTATTTATTTGGTATGGGATCTTGCTATGCAAGACTCATAATGACCCTCCTGTTTCGGCCTCCTCAACACTGGGAATACAGGTGCGTGCCACCATGCCCAGTTCTGATGGCCAGCTCAGTGCACCTGGGTTCCAGGGCTGGCATGGCATACGTTACTGGGGATTGAACCTAGGTCCTTGTGCTTGACAAGAGGAGGTTAGATGGCTGAGCTATCTTCCCAGCCCTTGAATCTGGTGTCTTTAATTCACAACCTTTTAAAAAGATATTTTTGTATATTAAGTCATGTTTACAAAGGACCTTTCCACCTCAAAATTATACTTTTAGGAATTGCTTTATTTTTCTCATAGCTTTAGTTTTTAAGTTCATTTCTGGAAGTTTTATGAATTTATAATGTAAGAAAGGATTCTGGCTTTACAATTTTTCCCAACTGGCTCAGTACCAACTACTAACTATTCTTTCCCCACTGGTTTGAAATAGCACCTGTATAGTACATTGTTATGAAGGTGCACACACATCTCTCAGGATCGTCTTCTTCTCTATTGACTAACTTGTGTGTTTTAGCTCTGTCTAAATCCCACGTCTAAGTTATCACTGTTCAGTAGTATGTTTTGACATTGGTGGGACATATCTACCATCACCCACTAACACTACCAACAGGATGACTGAAGCAGTTACGTAGTGAATTTTTTTTGTTGTTGTTGTTGTTTCTTGAGACAGAGTCTCACTGTGCAGTTCAGGCTGGACTTGAACTCACTTTGCAGCCTAGGTTGGTCTCGAACTCATAGCAATCTTCCTGCCTCAGCCTGCCGAGTGCTGCAAATACAGGCCTGCTCCACCATGGCCGACATTTATCTATCTATCTATCTATCTATCTATCTATCTATCTATCTATCTATCAGCTATTCCTCAACTTGTTTTCCTTCTATACAAACTTTATAAATGGGTCAAATTCCATTTTTTTAAAAAAAAAAATATCACCTAGGTGAATTTGCAGTGACTGTATAGAACAATTTGGTGAGAGACACTAACAATATTGAGGCTTCCCATCCAGGAACACAGAAAGTACCCTCCTTTGGCCAACTGTTGTTTTATATTTGCATGGAGAGATGTGTGATTGTCTTAATCAGGCGTTGTACATTTCTTATTAGATTTATTCCTAGGTCATTTCATTTTTGTATGGCATTTCCCCCATTATATTGTTGGTGAGCACTTACGACACTGTAAGACTAATTACTATTGTAACGTACTCATCTTGAGTTTAGATCCTTTAATTAAATCAATTCTTTATTAGTTCTAATACTATTTAGTTGATTCCTTAGAATCTCATATATAGAGAAATGTTATCAGCTGCAAAATTACATTTTCACATCTTCCCTTTAGTAGTAATTTAACACTTTGTTTTGTTCTCCTGGCCCAATTCCCTTGCCCACAATGACCAGCACAAGGTGGTGCACTACCTCAGTGTGACTAATTTTAATGCTCATCACAAACTTTAAAGGGAATAATTCTAAAATCTGACTCAATGTTTACTCTTAATTTTTCAGGAAACAAAGTCCTCATTAAGCTAACCAGTTTTCTTTCTATATTCTGGCTTGCTAAGACCTGCCAAAAATGAGACTTAAACTTACTGAACTTATTTTCAATTTATTAACATGAAGTGTAACTCAATTCTTTAAATACAAAGTAAACCTCTTTTGGTAATACAAAATTTTAATACCTTAATTTATTTAATGAAGGCATAATAACCATGCCTAAGAGTCCTATGTCACCATTAGAACTGGTTTATGGAAAAAATTTAAGAGTAGAAATACTGTGGAGCACATCAAAGCAAAGCACATATTGTCAATTTAATGTGGATTCTCTCACCTTGAAATCATCAGGAATGAGGAGTTTTGATGTTCGTAGAAAATTCAAGATATATCTGAACATCTGTCCATCTCTGTCAATGAAGTAGTGCTGTTTGAGGCTGTCCAAAACAATAGGCTCTGTACCATCAAAAAGTCTTCCAATTCTGTGATAAAAAAACAGGGAAGAGTGAAGACAATTAGATCAATTGGCCATTAACACTAAGAGCTCTAGTCTTGTGTCCCCGTCAACGGTAGGATTTTTGCAGATGGCACTCAAGAAAAATCATCCATTAAGTAGTTATGGTTTTCTGAAAACTGCTGGTCCTCGTGCAATAAATAGCTAGAACCAAATGATTCCAAATACTCTCCGGTTTTCTCAAATGCATTCTTCCATTCACAATCTTTCACCTGCAAAGCAAATGTTCCTAACGCCGTTATTATAGCAAAGCGCTGTCACTGTAATGGAAGACCTGCCTTTTCTGCTGTGCTACTTAAAACAATCTTCTCTGCTACTTAAAAAATGTTATTGCTCCAAAGTGTCTTCTAAACAGACTGTATTTAAAAAGCAATTCTGTTTTTTTAAAAAAAAAGATTTCTGAATTTTCCCATCGATGAATCTCAAATATATAAAAAATAAGGTAATGTCAATATAGTAACATTTATTACACAAAATAAAATATCAAGAGCCAGTGAGATAGCTCAGCAGACAAAGCACCTGCTTTGGCAAGTGCAGGGACCATGGTTTGATCCCCAGTCCTGCATGCCATGCCAGCCCTGCCCCCAGGGCATGCTAAACCAGCAAATGAGTCCCAGCATGGTGGTGCAAGCCTGTAATTCCAGCGCTGGGGAGGCTGAAAACAGGAAGATCACTAGGAGTCTGAGCTGCATAGTGAGACCCTGTAGCAAACACATTAAACACACACACACACACACACACACACACACACACACACATATTCCACTTATCTGGGAGAATGTTTTGTGTTAGCAATATACAATCTAGTTTCTTAGGTTTTAGCAAAAATAACTATTAAAAGTCAAGGATCATCATAAAAAAAAAAAAATCTGACCACTCAAAACATGTAACCTAGTTCTGGATTTTGACTATGGGTAAACTTTTAGGGATCTTCAATAATGTGTTTTCCCATTTTTAGGACTAACATTTGTGCAATGTGACACAGTTAAAGTACTTTATATCCATCACTTGCCCAACTAAGGGAGGCTGAACCTACACACTTTGTAGGTTCAGTTAATAGAAAGTAGCCATGTCTATTCTATGAACAAGAAGCAAGCTTGCTAATGCTGCCTGTGTCTGAAAGTGGAATTCACATGCTAAAAATCACTTCCTTTTCCAAAAGGCTCACTTTAGCAATGGCTTTGTGGAAGTACTGGGCATTGGGCCTAGGAGTACTGTGCCATGGTCCCTATACCCCTTTTTCTTTTCTTTTCTTTTTCTTTCTTTCTTTCTTTCTTTTCTTTTCTTTTTTTTTTTTTTTTCTATTTAGTACAGGGTGTACAGGGCATTCAGGGTCTCACCATGTAGATCAGACACATAGTTATCCTCCTGTTTTCAGCCTCCCAAGAGCTGGGATTACAGGCGTGCGCCACCATGCCTAGTCCCAATCTATGTTTCAGTGTGCCCCGTGGGTGGGGCCAATACGGCAGACCCTGGGATCGAACCTCCAGCCTCCACGTCTGCCTAAGCAGGTGCTTTAATCCACTAAGCTATCTGGCAGGCCCTCTTTTGTTTCTTTAAACAGGGTACTGCTTCATTGCCCAGACCAGTCTTAAACTTGTGATCCTCCTCCCTTCTCCTGAGTAGGATTACAGGCATGTGACACCATTTCCAGCCCAAATGACTCCATTTTCTAATAAAAAGCTTTTGCTGGCCTCATAACAAGTCCATGCTGATCTGAAAGCCCATATTACTGCTTTAAAGATTGTTTTGATATCATAAATTACATTGGAATGGTACAGTGGTTCACAGGAACTCAACAATTTTACCCCTTTTAAAATATGACAAATAGGTAGGAAAGCTCCTTTCAAAAAAGGAAGTCATGTGAACTTTTCTTTCAATAAAAAAACCTTTAAATATGATTTAAAAACTCATGTCTCATATAAAGGTAGTATATACAAATAAATTATACTTCAAAAATCCCAATAAATTTTCCTGAGTTAGTGTTTTCACCCAACTTTCCATGAAATGAATGTGGTTATCCAGGGCATATACCGCAGTCATCCCAGGAATCTTCGCTGAAAGCTACCTAAGTCATTCATTTCTCACTGACACACCAATGGCACAGGCAGTAGGCTAGAAACTTAGAAATGCTTACTCACTCACTTGCAGTGTTTCCAGGACAATCTGATGCAGGATAGGAAAGAATGAAACTTGTTTGCCTCTTACTAAAACATCTCATTCTTCACTGTCAATAACATCATAAATTCACAGTTGACAGGAAAGTAAAGGCGACATACTAACAGCTTCCCAGATGCCTGTGCAGTCCTAAGCACTTTATATATGCAACAAACCCATTACCATTGTAAAGATGAAGGTCAGGCACGGCAGTGCACGCCTGTAGCCCCAGCACTTGGGAGGCTGGGACAGAAGGACTGCCATGACTCCAAGGCCAGGCTGGGCTACATCATGGGTTCAAGACCACGCTCAATTACAGAGTGAGACCCACCTCAGTAAATAACTAAACAAATTAAATAAATAAAAGAAATACACCCCAAAAGGTGAACAACTTGCCCATCTAGTTAAGGAGCACTGGAGGATTTACATGCTGTTGGACCCCAAAGAAGCCTCTTTCCACTGATGGGCATTAAAAAAAAAAAATTACACTAGCCAATGGAAGCTTTTGGTCTAGTTTTTATTTCTGCCTATATTTGTTGGCAGTGAAATTCAAGCCCCTATGCAGGTTATTTTAGGGGCCTGAAATCAGTACCCATGATCCTATGTCTCTATAGCAAAAGAAAAGGGATGAAAGTGTTTGACTCTTAAATAAACCTTATGCTTTTCATTCTTAGGTGCATGTTCATCTTCCAAGCTAGACTTGGACACACTCAGGATGTGTATGAGAGATTAAGTCTCTACTGAGTGAATGAGTAAATGAATTGGGAATAAAGAACGCAACAGTAATGAGACCTGGCCAGTTACTCCCTATAATCAGAAAGAATTGACTTCCCTGAATACTAATTTCTTTTATAAAACTGTCTCATGTTTTTCTCAGGGTTCCTGAGCTCAAAAAGTGCTCAACAGTAGAAATATTCCAAGCCATCCAAGAGATATTTCTATGAAAGCAACTCTTCTAAGACTGTAGGAACCGAGGAACAGGATTTAGGAGAGAAGAGAACAACTTTGGCAGCATACATTATCACAGACCTTTCTAAAATACAAACATGTCATTCAAGTGATTTTTAGGACAGAAAAACCAAATCAAAAAATGACAGCGGGCAGATACAGGAAATTGGGCACAGATACAATCAAAGGCATCTTTCACTTAGATTTAGACAAAAAAAAAAAAAAAAAAAAGATGTAAAAAGCAGCAGGGAAAGGTGAACAGAGACCTTGAACAACAGCTAAGCCTGCCCAGCTTGCAGACCTGGAAGTAGCTGCCAGATCTGAAGGCAGTGGCCGGACACCGAGGGCAGTGGACTGAGAACAGAGGAAGGAATGAGCTCTAGTAGCAGACAGGACACCTAGCTAGGGCTAGAGGGGGCAAAGTGCAATGCCCAGGCCCTAACCCAGGATCCCTTGCGCAATGAAGTATGAACAGCCCAGTGTGAGCCCACCCCAGCCAGGGTACCAGGGGGAAACTGGGACTGGAACCTTTGCTGCGACCTCTCACTGGGTGGGCCGGAAGTACTGGCAGGGACCCGGAAGAGAGCAGGGCTGAGCTGGAGGAAGGGGACGGAGGCTGAAGAGCGCGCACCACTAGGGCAGAAAAGCCTGCACGACCAACGGCGGGACTGAGCGGCAAGGACCTGGAGAAATCGGGAAAGAACCGGAGCGGGCCTCGTGGGCTGCGGATGCATGCTCCAGACAAAGGTGGAAGGCCTCTCGGAGAAGAAAGCGTTCAGATTTGAATCACCAAATGCTGGAAATAATAAAAGGAATCGCAGTGCCGCTGATTTCTGCTAGCCTTAAAAAGGAGGAGCACTTAGAGCTGCGACAGCAGCGTAGAAGGGGCGGGAAGGCGGTGCCAGTGATCATAAAGCGGTGTCCCTGGGTGGGTTCTGAGACCTGGTCATTGCGCTGTGGAAAAGTATTGTTTGGCTAAGAAATAATCAGGGAAATCACAAGGCGGTATTTCTTGTGGACATGTGAATGGAGTTACAAATCAAGCTGCAGTGATGTGTAAACTCTGGTGTCGGAAAGCTATGTGGGACTGATTACAGTTTACTAACCTTGGAGGACATTCCTGTTTTCCAACTGACCACGGCCAAGCTGGCTCCAGATGATGTATGGCTGAGGTTTTCTTCTTGTTGTTTTTACACTCATTGAACCAAGTAGCAATGCCGAGAAAAACTTCTTTCCACAATTTTATTTTAAAAGGATGATCATTACTATGGAAACTAAGTTTTAAGACATTTTGGGAAATTTCGAACTTATAACAAAGCAGAGAAAATAATAATGAACCCCTAAGTGACCATCTGCCAGTTCCAGGGGGGGTCTCAGCTCTTGGCCAGTCTTAATCCACATCCAGCTGTAAGCCTCCTCTCTCCTAGTGGGGGTTTTGAAGTAAACTTACACATCACATTTTATCTATAAATATTTCATCAACTAATAGGATTATAAGAGTTCACTAAAATATGCATGAGTCAGCGTTGCATTTCACTTGGTTGCTTTTTAATCTGTTGATTATTCTTGTTTATAGAGCAACCAAGTGAGGCCCTAATTTCAGCAGAAATTAAGCTCATTTTGAAGGGAAGTCCTGCAAATGAATGAATACAGGAGACAAAAGTTTTGAGGGATTCATCCCAGTGCCAGGTGTCCCATGCCCAGTCATCCCTGGGGGTCCACAGTCAGGCCTACACAGCCGAATCATGTAAAGCTCCCCACCTAAGTGTCAGCTGAGTTGAGAACCCATGTAAAGGAGGATGAACAGAGAATTGAGGCATGCAGCAACATCATCAACTTGGAAAGCTCTGGGTTAGCCATTCT